TCGGGACTAACAGATGGTTCATTTTTATTTCAATAATTCGCTTGCGCGTAGGGGTCTTTAGCAGTGGTTGGACAGGCGACCCTACTCCTTGTCACGTACATCTGGGGAATCGAAACCACGCCAGTTGACTCAATGACAGACTTTATGATACAACGAGTAACCGCTACCCGCTCGGCCATCCAACTCCCACATATAAAGGGAAAATAAAATTGAAAATCACGAAGAACGTTCTTGGATAGAAACGGGGTCGAACCCAAGAACTTCTCGTTGCACTCTATTTGAATATAATAGCAAACACGAACTAGCATAGAATAAATACATCCTGGTCAATGACCAATCAATAAAGTACAACAACATTAAAGATGTCTATCCGCCTACAAGACTAGTGATTTGATGATATATTTGGACTAAAGCAACTAACTTATCAATAATGTTTGCTCCACACCCCTCTCAAAAATGGGGGCGTATAAAAACTACCCCATGCAGTGATAATCTATCTTATTAGGCTTATTATCATCAAGTATTTATCAAGCGCCCCTTACGCCATTCGAGGAGACAGGCTATCTCTAGGGAGCTGTCTTTTAGGGATATACGCCCACATGTTTGTCTTACGCGCGCCCAATGGGTGATTTCTGGGAATCCAGTGTTTTTTTTCTAGCAAGATTGGGTTTCTCTACCTTCCATATACAACTATTAGAAATAACTATCAAATAAATAGTTTCATGGGAATGAAATATTGTGTGTTCAGAACAGGCGCGGAGCAGATTAATAAACTTTCGCCTCGCTCCGCCCAGCCTTTTGAAAATGAGCTGTGTTACGTTGTCGAAAACCCACTCCTCTGGCGTCCAGAAATCCCACGACCTGGGCTTTTGTGTATGTGTTTATGTAATTGTATTACTAATATTTTTAACTTTTGGAATTTTCAGAGCTATTCCATGAGGCCAGCCCATTTAACATCTAAATAGTCAAGTAAAAAATAAGTTAACCATGCAGTGGCAACTGTTACTCAACATCTTATTGATATCATCACCGTTTGCCAGGATTTATACAGAACAATGCTGTCGATTATAATCACACCTGTAGGGCAATACCTTTACATGTCTAACAATGATGGCGATAATACGACTAATATTACAAGTCTTATAACAGATTAATGTGACTTATCGCACCTTTCAGACCATTATTGTATTTCACACCCTTTAATCACGGTCAGTACCCATTAAACGGGAAATTGTTGATAAGAAGGCGTATATATGTCATAGGCTGCGTATAATATGGATTTAATACTAACATCGCGATATTACCTCGGTGGAAGCGGACGTAAAATACAACTAACTCACACACACTAACATAGTCATTAGGGAAATCATTGGTGATCTGAGGCCTGTTATGATCTGTTGGGTTTTTGTATCCGGTCTTATTATTTAAATTCGTTTCACTTTCACTTTCTGTTTCAAAAGTCTCGTGTTTTTCTATTTCATAAGCAGAGCTGTCTTTCCTTGTATGTATTTAATACTAACATCGCAGAGATTGGGATTTCGTGTAAATGGGAGGGGGGGGGGGTGGCTGAATGGTTAGCACGCGGGCGCTGTACGGTCTGTCATTGAGTCAACTGGCGGGGTTTCGAATCCCCGGTTCTACGTGACACGGAGTAGGGTCGCTTGTCCAACCTCGTGGGTTTTCTCCGGGTCCTCCGGTTTCCTCCCACTGCTAAAGACCCCTACGCGCAAGCAAATTATTGAAATAAAATTGAACCATGGGTTAGTCCCGAAATGACCTCGTTTGTGTCGAGTGGACGTTAAACCCTATTTCTCTCTCTCTCTCTTTCTTGTAAACGACAAGGCTGATGCTAATTGTAGGCCTGTTGGACGAGGGTCGGCAATTTTTGACGGTATATTGGACACAAGTTGAGTCCACTATGACCGTTTTATATAAATGAGTATTTTTGTGGAATACTAACCCTAACCCTTTTAAGAGGGGTAAAAGGTAAATTGGATCCAATTTCAGTCTTCTAAAAAGAGTGAGGGCTGGTATTCCCTCAAAATATTCATTTATGGGAATAGATTCGGCAATCATCGGAAATCATCGGAAATCCCCCCCCCCACCAAACAACCGACGTACAATTAGCATCATCCAAACGACAATGAAATGAAACGAAAATCAGGTTTACGTTTTATAAGCATTCAGGACGATCCAGGCTAATAAAGTACAACAGACAAAGTGGGGGGTGGGCACTTCAATAAAGAGAATGTACACGCCCGCGCACCCCCCACCCCCACCCCCGAGTATTATTTCGTAAGAAATGAAATGAAATGAAATGGGGTTTAACGTCCTACTGTTCTGCTCCTATACTGGGCTAATGAAGACGGGCATACGCCATACAGTGTGCTATGAGGGAAATTTTGCCCGGGCAGCGACGCCTACTCTTATATCGAATTCCAACTGCCAAGGGATCTTTTACGTGCACGCCAATGTGTACACAGGACCTCGGTTTCTCGTCCCATCCGAACGACTAGACAGCTGTCCTTGTCAGGCCCTCCATCCTGCATCATTGACAAGGGGAAACACGAAGGAAGGCAACGTCGTGGAAATGGTGTCATCAACATCCATGAACGCAATTTTGTAAACAAACTAAATTTCTAAAGACATGATATAACTGTATGTGTATATAACATGGTTAAAGTGTATATATATGTATGCATGCTGTCCTTAATGGACGTTTTGATGCAATAAACATCATTTCCTATCTTATCTATGATGTTCGTTTCATATTTTATATGAATTTTGATAAATGTTTCAAGCCCTTGGTATTTCCACATCGCGGCTATTGTATTATCAACAGCCTTCATTTCCCCAAAATTACACTAGGATATTTATTATATAAAATATTTCCTAACTGCGATTTTGTTCTAATATATTTATGAATTCTAAGAAAACGGAAATGTGAAGAGTATGTCGGGTTTTTAAGTGGAAAAGTCAAACTTGACAGAGAGGGCAAAACTACAATCAGAAATAAAACGGGGTTTAAAGTCCTACTTTTCTGCTCCAACCGGGTTAATGAAGACGGACATACGCCATTTTGTCCAGGCAGCGACACAATCTTATATCGAATTCCAACTGCCAAGGGATCTTTTACGTGCACGCCAATGTGTACACGGGATCTCGGTTTTTCGTACCATCCGAACGACTAGACAGCTGTCCTTGTCAGGCACTCTGTCCTGCATCAGTGAAACCACGTCGGAAAATCCCGTTGAACTTTATCGGCCAATGCAGGGATCGAACACGCGTCCTCCAGACTGGCGAGCTAGAGTCTTACCCACTTATAGTCACCGTGGCTCCCAACTACGATCGGTCATCACTTGAACCCATGTAGACGGGGAATAGGGCATGCATGAGTGTTTTGAAAAGTAGTTTCTAGAACACCTCATTTACCGAGAGGTGTTGGATGGCCGAATGGTTAGCGCGTGCGCGTTGTATCATAAGGTCTGTCATTGAGTCAACTGGCATGGTTCGAATCCCCCGTTGTACATGGCAAGGAGTAGGGTTCGCCTCTTCAACCTCATGGGTTTTCTCCGGCTCCTCCGGTTTCCTCCCACTGCTATAAACCCCTACGCGCAAGCGAATTGTTGAAATAAAATTGAACCACGTGTTAGTCCCGAAATGACCCAGTTTGTGTTGAGTGGACGTTAAACCCCATCTCTCTCTATCCCTCTCTCTCTTTCATTTTCTGAGTTCCCACATAGCTATTTATTTTTTGTTGTTCCTTTGTATTCTAACAATTGTATTGTTATTTATAACATAGATTAAAAGGACCTATATAGGGGGTGAAATAGGACCCAGTCAAAGTAATAAAAACTCGGTGACCTAGAATAGTCAAACTGTGGTATAAAAAATATCGTACTAAACTGTATATCATGATCATTAATAGCGATTTCCCTCTGTTGTTTCCCATTGAGTGTTGCCAGACAACGACCTGACAAGGAACGGCGTCTAGTTCTTCAGATGGGACGAAAGACCGGGATCCTGTGTAAACACTAGCGTACACATAAAAGATCCGTTGTCATTTGGAATTCGAACTAAGATTCGGCCGCTGCGCTGCTGTCTGGGCAAAATGTCCTTCATAGCCTGCTACGGTGTGTCTTTATGGGTCAGTCAAAAATATAGGACGTAAAACCCTATTTCATTTTATGTCATTAAGTGAGAGAGGGGGAGAGAGAGAGAGGGAGAGAGAGAGAGAGGAGGGAGAGATGGGGTTTAACGTCCACTCGACACAAAGTAGGTAATTTCGGGACTAACTCATGGTTTAATTTTATTTCAATCATTCGCTTGCACATAGGGGACTTTAGCAGTGGGAGGAAACCGGAGGACCCGGAGAAAACCCACGAGGTTGGACAGGCGACCCTACTCCTTGTCACGTACAGCCGGGGAATGGAAACCACGCCAGTTAACTCAATGACAGACCTTATGATGGTATGGTTACGGTACACATAACATAACGGTCGTGGGGCTATATAACATTACAACATTAAGTAGGCCACAAAACTAGAACGAGAAAAATCCCCGGAAACAATGAACACCAACCGCCTGTGGTTTTGTATTGTTCACATTTCCTCCGCGTTGAGAAAATAAAAGCACGTTATATAATATATAGTGAACTTGAAAGTATAGATCTTAGCCCTTGGTGACACACTGTCATAGGTCGACATTAACACTTAATGTTTACAAGTCAAAGAATATTGAAAATTAAATAAACACGACCTCCATTTATATTTAATAAAAAACCTTATATTATAAAGTCATATTCATATGTATTTATAGTAACAGTATGCTGTCTTGTTCACTTATATACTCTCGGACGAACGGAATGAAAAGAATTCGTCATTCAATCGTTACGCTTCGACTTTTTATGGCATTTAATCATTTACACGACAGCAGCAGACGATCGAATAATCATAAATGGCGCCAAATAATCTGTCAGTGAGGAGTGAGTGATGACTTACCGAAATGTGTAAACAATCGGATGTAGAAGATTCAAACAGTCGTCGAGTCCCTGTTGCTTCTCTTCGTCCAGGTGGTGGCGCCTTTAATATCATACAGTCTCTAACAACTCTAGTTTCTTTTTGCACACGGCACTTCCCTATTAGTCTCGACCACCTAGTCATCCGATCGATGACAATCAGGTGTCCATGAAGATGTCAACACATAGTTGAAGGGAGACAACTATATTTGGGGACAGACCACTATTAATTGCCCGCGGCTCCAACCTTTGCCCCAACTTCCGTTGGGCCGAACGCTTTCCACCACAGATGGAGTAGCAATTGGCCATTTCTTTGCTCCAGAGTTTGTATGAAGTTCATTATTTGAATGAATTTAATGATGGCTTGCCTACTATACTTTCCCACAAATCATCCGCTTTTCGGCATGTGTATTCTAAGTTCGGTTATAATTTATCCCCCTCCCCCACCACCGCCTGCGAGATAAATTTCAGAATCACCGACAAATCCGGACGAAATTTTCTGTGGCATTTTTATGCAATAAAACCGAATTACTTTACCCCCCCCCCCACACACACACGCACGCACGCATACACACAAACACACACACGCCGATACCCCGGACTCATTCTCTTAATTTGATTTTTTATACGGTTGTGTTTGTAGGTAGCTTGGTCCTTCTGTTGTAACTAATATACTGGTAGACGTAATTCCTTACTGTCATTGGCCACATGGCGAGCCAAGAGTCAATTTGTTTACTGCAATTGGGACTGGCGGTATCAATACGCGGTCTATTCTGGTACAGGTAATTTCACATGGCGAGTCAGGTTTTACCCCGATACCCGTAATAGAGTGGGTTCCACCTGCTGGGGTAACACAGGGAATGTAATTTTCGCATTTAAAGGTAGGTCTATACAGTGCCGGAATAAATTCTATCAATTCGACTAAATCAAACTTTAACCTGTCTCGGGGGAAAAGAATATGTGCATCGAAAATATGAATTCTGTGTTTGACCAAAATGGTATGTATCCCTGCAAATCTGAACAGATCGTATGAGAAAACTGTGCAAGAGCATCACCAGTTATCATTATGGACACACCTCACCAATTATTCCTTCGCCCTCACCCAAAGTTTTATTTTTAGTCCTTCTCTCCCTTTCTCTTTTACCCCTTTTGCATGGCGCTCTTTGTTTAACTTTTTGGTGTAGAAAGTGAAGAAACGGTTTGAATATATATTTTCTGCCAGGTTTTGGTGAATATTCATGATTTTGAGGCGGAAGGATACAAGACGATGGTTAGGTTGAAATGTAGGGCGGAAAATTGCTTGTTTACTTGTCTCTATTTCCAGCTTGTGTATCTCAGGTTTTTATGATGAACCTCATACGTGCTTTTTGTCAAGAGTACTCCATTTGTGGTAGAAAGCGTTCTACCCAACGAAAATTTGGGAAATAGTTAGAGTCGGTATAAGAGACGTGAAATAACATTAAAGTCACTAGGGAAATCATTAGTAACCTGTGGCCTGTTATGGTCTGTCGGACTTTTGTATCCGGTCTTATTATTTAAATTCGTTTCACTTTCGCTTTCTGTTTCAAAAGTCTCGTGTTTTGCTATTTCCGGGCTGCCTTTCCTTGTAGTTCGAATGCTGGATAGTGAGACTTGCATGGGAAAAGAGTGTTTTCGGGAAATAAAGCAATGGTTGATCCAAATGACGCATAACAATCGCTATAGCGTGCAAAGAAAAACAGTCGTCAGCTGCAGGATACCGCAACTTAAGCCGACTACACACAAGTCGACAGGACTCAGCGTCTTGGGTAGTTGTAAAAAAAATCTGGTCGCGCCTTTACTTCACTTGCCTACGACGGTACCAGTCCACACAGGCCCGACAGGACTTCAATGCTGGGTTGTAGAGACATGGGCGTGCCTCCCACATGTAAACCAACCCATCCTCTCTCTCTTCTGTCCAAAAATTCCACACAAACACGATAAGTTACGACTGCAACCAACTGCATCCGACTACGATTGAACATGTTCAGTCGGGCCGACGGGCCACGACGCGACGGAAATCGATTGAATCGTGGTCGTAGGACTGTCCACACTGCACTGATTACCCGAGACAAGACGTGGCGTTGGCTAGAGTCTGGACAAGTCGTGGGCGGTATGGGCCGGGCTTTAAGGTTCGTCGGTTTATGAATCGCTTTAGACGTTTCGTTGGAGAGAGAGAAATGGGGTTTAACGGCCACTCGACACAAACTTGGTCATTTCGGGACTAACATGTGGTTCAATTTTATTTCAGTAATTCGCTTACGTTTAGGGGTCTTTAGCAGTAGGAGGACCCTAGTCCTTGTCACGTACAACCGGGAATCGAAACCACGCCAGTTGACTCAATTACAGACCTTATGATTCAACGCTCACTCGCTAACCACTCGGCCACCCCCACCCCACCCATCGTAGGACTGTCAATGATGCTTCCAGCGAACCTCTCCGTTTGTTTTGCTTATCAATAAGCGATCTGATGATTTGAGTTCTACTCAGAATGTGGGAAATATTTCAGAACCCAATTGTTGAAATAATGTCCCACACACCGCCCCGACAGATCTTACAGTCTAAAGCACCCGAGTTAGCCCACTCGACCCACTCTTCAATACACCTGTGTGTTTTAAGTTATAAGTATTTTACAGATAGTTTGAGTAAATATTAAACTCGATAAGTCTATATGAAACGTATATTTATTAACTACAATATTTCTTCAGTAATACATGCTTAAACAAAACAAACATATCACAAATCATAACGTATAACGAATATTAACATATAATTTGTCTCTCATACTAATTTAAATATATAACCAATCCTATAAAATACTTTTTGTCTGTATCAAGTCTGTAAACCGATTAATCACAAGTAGCCCACACTAATATAGTGAAGACATGTAATATATATAGGGGGTTGGGTTGTCGTGCGCGTGAAATCATCAGATCTGTCATTGAGTCAAGTGGCGTGTTTTCAATTCCTTGTACGTGACAGGGTAGGGTAGTCTGTCCATTCTCGTGGGGTTTCTCCGGGTCCCCCGGTTTCCTTTCACTGCTAAAGACCCCCTTTCTTCTCCCTTTTTATATCTTCTCCTTCTTTCTTCCCTCTCTTTTCTTCTCTCTCTCTTTCTCTTTTCCTCTCTAGCTCTTTCTTCTTCTCTCTTTCTCCCTCACAGCACACTGTATGACGTATGCCCGTCTTCATTAGCCCAGTTCGAAGCAGAAAAGTAGGATGTTCAACGCCATTTTATTTCCGCCCTCTCTCGCCCCCGCCCCCGCCCGCCTCTCTCTCTCTCCCTCCCCCACCCTCTGTCTCTCTCTCAAACTCTCTCTCTCTCTCTCCCCCTCTCTGTCTCTCCCCCTCTCTCTCACCCTCACTCTTCCTCTCTTTCTCACCCTCACTCTTCCTCTCTCTCACACACTCACTCACCCGCTCTCTCCCCCCCTCTCTCTCTCGCGGCCTATCCTACATTTCTGCAACAACCAGCTGAATGAAGACGGATATACGAAGACGAAATAAGCGAAGTTTAACTTTTGGTTGAAATAAATTCCGATTTCAATTTACGGGAAACGTAATATATGAAGAATTCGTAAATGTAAAAATAAAAAACACAGAAAAGCGCACTGACTTACCCACACACAACCCATGACTGATATCGCTGTGACATTTCATATTTTAAATTAACTAACTTTATCTCATTGCTAATTGTCACTTTCATAACACAGTAACGCTCGAGCACAATTCATCATAAAAAAACTAAAACATCATTAAAGATACATTAAGAATGAGCTATGTCTGTCTATTGCAGGTCTTTTTTCTGTTCTCATGTGTTATAAAACTTATTATTTAGATATTAGAACTGGTCTTCGTTTATTATCGTTAGCAATGGTACTCGACAATCGAGACTATTTTCTCCATTTCTTGTCAAAACTTCAGAATAAAGTAATTTTACTGACATTTTCAATATATTAATTGTTTATTATCTATTTCTTGAACTATTATAACGAGAACGACCAGCTCTTTATCTAAATTTCACATAATGTATCTTTAATGTATAGTGGTGGACATGATCTATTATTATAGCGAGAATTGTCAGCTCTTTATCCACATCTAACATAATGTATCTTTAATGTTTAATGGTGGAAATAATCTAACATAATGTATCTTTAATGTTTAGTGGTGGAGATACTCTAACATAATGTATCTTTAATGTTTAGTGGTGGAAATAATCTAACATAATGTATCTTTAATGTTTAGTGGTGGAAATACTCTAACATAATGTATCTTCAATGTTTAGTGGTGGAGATACTCTAACATAATGTATCTTTAATGTTTAGTGGTAGAGATACTCTAACATAATGTATCTTTAATGTTTCGTGGTGGATGTCTACAGGAACATGTTATGTCCGGGTATCTTGGGCGTTCTCAATGACAGCCCTACAAACACAGAGTCCGCAATACACAATACAGCACTAAATATAGACAACCCAATCGGCCATTCCACGTGACCACCCCGACCTTTAAAACGCGTTAATCCGGCAGACTTTTTAACGAAAACGGCCACACCAATAATAATAGCCACACCTGCAAAAAAACAAAAATAAAAAAAGTAATTAATGTAATGTGTTATTAAAATGAAATGAAATGGGGTTTAACGTCCTACTGTTCTGCTCCGACTGTGCTAATGAAGATGGGCATACGCTATGAGGGAAATTTTGCCCGGGCAGCGGCACTACGGCCTACTCTTATATCGAATTCCAACTGTAGAGGGATCTTTTACGTGCACGCTAATGTGCACACCAATGGTACCTCGGTTTTTCGTCCCATCCAAACGACTATACATTGTCCCTTGCCAGGCCCTCTGTCCTACACCACTGGCAATGGGAAAACAAGCCGGAAAATCCCGATGAATTGTCTCGGTCAACGCAGTGATCGAACACGGTACCTCCAGTTGGGTGGGGTGGGGGTGGATGGTCAAATGGGTAGAGCGTGTGCGTTGTATCATAAGGTCTGTCATTGCGTCAACTGGCGTGGTTTCGATTTCCCGGTTGTACGTGACAGGGAGTAGGGTCGCCTGTTCAACCTCGTGGGTTTTCCCTGCATGGGTCCTCCGGTTTTCTCCCACTGTTAAAGATCCCTACGCGCAAGTGAATTATTGAAATAATGACACCAGGGATCGGAGCAGTGGCTCTGCGGCCCGAATACCGACCATACCGATGAGAAACGAATTGTAAAATAGATATTTATGCCCCCCCCCCCCACTAGCTATTAGCACCCCCCCCCCCCAGTCAGGCCACCTGATAACCCTATACCTATTCCTAACACTAACCCACAATGCTCGGCAACAATCACGTGTCTGAATATTTGGACCTAACACTGCATTAAGGCCAGCTGCAGATTTCATCAAGGTCACTGGATGTAAACAAGGCTAGTACTAACCCTAACGGTAGACCTATAGCCCTAACACTAACCCACAATCCTCGGCAACAAGCACGTTCCTTAATATTTAAACCCATCCCTGTACCCCCTCTCCTTGGGCCTGTGTAGACCCATTCCTAACACAATCCTCGGCAACAATCACATGCCTTAATATTTAAACCCATCCCTGTGCCCCGTCTCCTTGGGCCTTGTGTATGATATATGAGTGGGATAGCCGAGTAACGGCGAACCCAATCACGACCTATATTTAATCTTCCACGTGGAAACAGAGGCCGCACGTGAAGTTTGTAAATAATAGAGTACCAACCGGCTCCAGCTATGAGACACACAAACAACCGTTTCAAGATATAACTCCATTTCTCACGTAACAATGTTGTGGAGATGTAGATTAGAAGCGCCACAAAACACAAGACTGCTCCTGCAGTCTCGAACACCTGGGTAACTTGTAACCATGCTGAATAATAAACAGTAATAATTATTAAAATGCAACAAGAAATCTCATTTTTATTGTTAAAGTAGATGTTTGATACAGGTGCAGCGAATGGTTCAATATTCGAACCTGTTCCGTTCCTTTAAATATTTTGGCGGGAAACTCCGTCGTGAGATGGTTTGGATGCCTCTCACTGTATGTAACTTTTTCATCACCAAGGATATGAATTCCAACTACCAACGTGTACAACAAGGGACGTGAGATTTTCGTCCTATCCGAACGACTAGATGTTTTTTTTTGTCAGACCCGCCGTCCAATACCAAGGACAAGGGGGAACCTTGCCCCTACCCCCTCCGAGGAAATGTCTTGGCCAACACCGCACCTTATACTTACTGATCCACAGTGGCTCCTTGTCAGCGAATGAAAATGGGCTTGACATTGACGACATGGAATTTAACATCATAACATTGACCTTCAAAACTAGCAAACTAAACTTACTTGTCCGTAGCCCGAACGCATTAATTTATATATTTATATATAGGACTATATAACTTATATAGGTCGATATAACCTGTTCCCCAGTCAGTATGTCGTCATTGACCAGTCGGTTTAAACCTCATTTCACCCCACCCCCAATCCTGCACATGAGTTACATTTAAGGTCACCGATATTTAGAATAAAATAAAGATTTTAGGGATTTTTTTATGAAGAAAACAATCCATTTTAGCTCAGTATTGGTTTAACAGTTGTCCTTCAAAACTATAAGACCTGATTATTATATCATCAAGTCTAAATGTTTATCTAACTTGTCGCTCACAGCTCATGTTTCCTAGGATGAATGTGGTTGGACAACAAAACTGACACTTTACTTAATAGCAATGATATTTAAAAAACAAACAAACCCCAAAAAATCTGATAAGCTGTTGGAGACACTAACTGACACAGGTTAAGAGCACAGTTAAATATAGTTAAACGCATATAATAAAATCTACAGCAAAGTATCTGATATCACTTTCATTTATTTATTTATTTATTTATTTATCTACTTATTCATTTATTTATTTACATTTATGTATATTTATATATATATATTTATGTATGTTTTTATATGTACTATTTATGTATATTTATATATGTATTATTTATTTATTTATATATTATTTATGTATATTAATTTATATATATTTATGTATATTTTTTATATGTATTACTTATGTATATTTATATATGTATTATTTATGTATATTTATATATGTATTATTTATTTATTTATATATTATTTATGTATATTAATTTATATATATTTATGTATGTTTTTATATGTATTATTTATGTATATTTATATATGTATTATTTATTTATTTATATATGTATTATTTATGTATATTTATATATGTATTATTTATTTATTTATATATTATTTATGTATATTTATTTATATATATTTATGTATATTTTTATATGTATTATTTATGTATATTTATATATGTATTATTTATTTATTTATATATGTATTATTTATTTATATATGTATTATTTATTTATTTATATATGTATATTTATATATGCATTATTTATTTATTTATATATTATTTATGTATATTTATTTATATATTATTTATTTATATTTTTATATGTATTATTTATGTATATTTATATATGTATTATTTATTTATATATGCATTATTTATTTATTTATATATGTATATTTATATATGCATTATTTATTTATTTATTTATTTATTTATTTATTTATTTATTTTTTTGACTGTCACTTTATGATCATTTGAACAACCGCTGAAATTTTAAATAAAGAACACAGGGTAAGGTTCTGAAGTGTGACTTTTAACAAGAAATTGTGAACAAATAAGATACGAAACGATAAAGGACATGATTGGTGCAGGATGTTCACAGGGTGGGACGAAAAACCGAGGTCTCGTATACACGTTGGCATACAAGTACAGGAATTCTTGACAGTGGAAATTCTATAAAAGAGTGTCCGGGCAAAGTTTCCTTCATAGCACACTGTATGGCGTGTATATCCGTCTAGCTCAATCGGTCCAGAACAGTAGGACGTTAAACTCCATTTCATTTCATTTCACAAGAAATTGTAGACGCACGACGGAGAGGCACACCATCGGCCTATGGTCTAGGCGATATACCTCCACAATAAATGTGGACGCATAAGGAACGAAACAAAAAATGATACGATTAGCTTAGTCTTCTCAAATTCAAGTTATTAAAGATACATTATGGGAGATTAGATAAAGAGCTGGCAGTTCTCACTATAATTGTTAAAAACTAGATAATGTAAAGGGAATATACTTAAAATTTCAGATAAATTGATCTACTCTGAACTGGGATATTAGCGAATTAGCGATTGAGTTTTATGCCTATATAGCCTCGATCATCATTACTAAATAAAAACCCCCAAAATAGTCTCGATTATCCAATTTTGCATTTAATCATCAATGGGCGTTGGGCAGCTGATCGGATTCAAATCCAGTGAAAATCGAACACATAAGATGGTATCGAGAGTTGAGTTGATTAATGTCTTTTCATGTTAATAAGGGTTAATGGTTAGCACGTGCGCGCTGTACCATAAAGTCTGTCATTGAGTCAACTGGCGTGGTTTCGAATCCCCGGTTGTACGTGACAAGGAGTAGGGTCGCCTGTCCAACCTCGTGGGTTTTCTCCGGGTCCTCCGGTTTCCTCCCACTGCTAAAGACCCCTACGCGCAAGCGAATTATTGAAATAAAATTAAACCATGTGTTAGTCCCGAAATGACCTAGTTTGTGTCGAGTGGACGTTAAACCCCATTTCTCTCTCTCTCTTCATGTTAATAAATGTCTAGTTAAAAGTTTATATAACAATTCAGGCCCCAATGTATGTTTAATATGATTAATACAATGACGTCATTATTAATGTGACGTCATAATGTTTAATACACCCCACTAGTTCATATCATATACTTATATTTACTACTTATTAAAGTAAATAAAAATGGCGGGTGATATTTATGGACGTATATTAGCTTGATAACGTTGAGAGAATACTCTTCTAAACGTCGCCTAAATAAATCAGTAATTGTTCGTCTATAACTATGTGTTATATATAGTTTATTTGGTCAATATTGTTTTATAATACATCAAAGGAAGGTTAAAAGTGAGCTGAAAGATTGGAGAACTTATTAATGATTTATGTATTACTACAATATATAAGTTAGGTGTAGGGGTTGGATTGTCGAATGGTTAGCACCTGTGCGTTGTATCATAAGGTCTGTCATTGAGTCAACTGGCGTGGTTTCGATTCACCGGTTGTACGTGACAAGGTGTATAGTCACCTTTCCATCCGCGTGGGTTTTCTCCGGGTCCTCCGGTTTCCTCCCACTGCTAAAGACCCCTACTCACAAGCGAATTATTGAAATAAAGTTGAACCATATGTTAGTGCCGAAACGACCTAATTTGTGTCGAGTGGACGTTAAACCCATATCTCTCTCTCTCGCTCTCTCTCTCTCCCTCTCTCTCTCTTTCTCCCTCTCTCTCTCTCTCCCTCTCCCTCTCTCCCGCTCTCTCTCTCTCTCTCCCTCTCTCTCTCTCTCTACTCTCGCTCTCTCTCTCTCTCTCTCTCCCTCTCTCTCTCTCTCTCTCTCTCTCTCTCTCTCTCAATGCCAAAGAAAGAACTGAAGTTGGGTAAACAGAGAGCAATAGATTACTGATGTGTATAATAAATCAACTAATATGCTACTCTAAATATAATGGAGTTAGATTCAAAATGTTTTAATTTACAACACTCGAATCAACAGTTTGTAAAAGGATATTAAACATAACGTGAAGATCTACCAGGAGAATTTAATATCATATCAATTATAATCAACAAGTTACACGTCACATCAAACACAGGTTACAAGGGCTATAATAAATACTCACAGGGAGAGAAAGAGAGAGAGAGAGACAGACAGAGACACGGAGAGAGAGAGAGAGAGAGAGAGAGAGAGAGAGAGAGAGACACACACAGAGAGAGAGAGAAAGAGAGAGAGAGAGAGAGAGAGAGAGAGAGAGAAAGAGAGAGAGAGACAGAGAGAGAGAGAGAGAGAGTAGAGAGGTTAAACGTACACTCGACACAAGCCAGGTACAGTAGAACTTGCTCGGGCATGCACTCCTAGCTTCAACGAGCACCAAAAAATCCGCCCAAGCGATTTTTAAGTAATTTAACCCCTACTAAACACGCACCTGTTCAACGCGTGCAACGGGCATCACGATTAATTCCCCCCGTAAAAATTCTACTGTTTCAACGGTCACTCCTCTATGGCGGTATTCAAAATTCTAACATGCTTTCGTCTAACTTCTAACTTCTGTTCGTGTAATTTTTAACTTCTATTCATGTAATTTCTAACTTCTATTCGTGTAATTTTTAAATTAAAACAATGTATAACAGATGGTTCAGGTGTATTCCAACGATTCGATTGCACGTAAGGATCTTTAGCAGTGGGAGGAAACCATCCACTTAAAAAACGTCCACTTAAAAAACAAACTAGGTTATTCCGGTACTAAAACATGGTTCAATTAAACTTTTTTAACAGTGGGGTAGCACTGTAGGACCAGAAAAAACAATGAGTTTGGACAAGCAATCCAACTGCTTGTCACGTACAAAATGGGAATCAAAACCACGTCATGTGACTCATTGACAGACTTGGTCACTTGGAGACTAACATAGGGTAACGTTATTTGTACGAGAATTTTGCCCGAGAAGCGAGATTTTCGCCTACATTTCTTTCATATAAGTCACAAGCGGGCCCCCGTTCTTCGTCCAATTCGAACGAATAAACACACACACAAGTTTAGGATTCAAACATTGAGCGTCCACTGCTCCACCTCCTCAGTTACCAGGGCAGCTATGTCAACAAGTCTTGACCAGGCCAACGATGAAACTGTAATGGGGGGAATCAAAGTTAACAAATTCAATCACTCAAGTGCAGATCGATATAAGATTAGATCACTTTACAAGATCTATAGATGATTTACATTAGAACAATTGGCAATTAACCGAAGTACCTCCTGAAGGTGTCTGACAACAATACCGATAATTACCAATAATCTACACAGCATCAAGAATTTCATGACGTCAGCGAAACGGGTCAATAAACTTGCAGTTTAGTAGTCTACATATATCTAGAGAGAGAGAGAGAGAGAGATGGGGTTTAACGTCCACTCGACACAAACTAGGTCATTTCGGGACTAACATATGTTTTTTAATTTTATTTACATAATTCGCTTGCGCGTAGGGGTCTTTAGCAGTGGGAGGAAACCGGAAGCCCCGGAGAAAACCTACGAGGTTGGACAGGCGCCCCTACTCCTTGCCACGTACAACCGGGGATTCGAAACCACGCCAGTTGACTCAATAACAGACTTAATGATACAGCGCGCACGTGCTAACCAATCAGCCATCGACCCCACCCCCACCCCCGAAATGAGAGAGAGAGAGAGAGGGAGGGAGAGAGAGAAATGGAGTTTAGTGTCCACTCGACAGACAGTAATAATCTTTGTCACGTTTCCGGCGTGGTTCCCCCTTGTCAGTGTTGCAGGACGGAGGGCCTGACAAGGACAGCTGTCTAGTCGTTCGGATGGGACGAAAAACCGAGGTCCCGTGTATATATTCCCTGGCAGTTGGAATTCGATATAAGAGTAGGCGATAGTGCCGCTGCCCGGGCAAAATTTCCCTCATAGCACACTGTATGGCGTGTGCCCGTCTTCATTAGACCAGTATAGGAGCAGAACAGTAGGACGTTAAACCCCATTTCATTTCATTTCATTTCTTTGTCACGTACAACCTGGGAATCGAAACCTCGCCAGTTGACTCAATGACAGACCTTATAATACAACGCGCTAACCACTCAACCACCCGGTCCCCTCAAATGAAATGAAATAGGGATTAATTGTCTAGTTTTCTACACTAATTCGGCTAAAAGAGACAGCTTCATGCCACAGTGAAATTTTGCCCGGCCAGTTGTAATATGCAAAGGGACCGTGGCGCTAACTGTCAAATGAAATGGGGTTTAACGTCCTACTGTTCTGCTTCGAATTGGGCTAATGAAGACATACGCCCATACTCTTATATCGAATCCCAGCTGTCAAGGGATCTTTTACGTGCACGCCAATGTGTACACAGGACCCCGGTTTTTCGTCCCATCCGAACGACTAGAGCTCTCCTTGTCAGGCCCTCCGTCCTGCATCACTAACAAGGGGAAACCAGGCCGGAAAATCTGGATGAACTTGATCGAACACCCGACCTCCAGGCTAGCGAGCCAGCGTCTTACCCACTTAGCCACCGTGACCCCTGTCTAAATGTCAAGCCAACGTGTATATGGGAGCTCGGTTTATCGTGCCATCCTAGCGACTAGACACGATCTCAATCACATAGTTCAATTAAATCTTAGCTACCTTATTACAAATCTATATTGAAACAGTGTATCCGATTTCATATTCTACTGAGATATTGGTTTACATGAAAGGAACTGTCAAATAAAATCTATAGCAAAGAATTATATCTATTTATTTGTGCATGTAAGAAAGGGTTGGGTGATAAATAAAATCTCCTGCTCGTCATTTTTGATATCACAAATATCAACACTCGTTCAGATAAAAATATCACAGCTAATTAATTATATCAAAATATTCTATTCGATCGTTCAGATAAAAATATCACAGCTACCTAATTATTTTAAAATATTCTATCCCATCGTTCAAATATCATAGCTAACTTATTGTATGAAAATATCCTATCCGATCATTCAGATAAAAATATCACAGCCAGCTTATGATATTAAAATATTATATCCGATCGTTCAGATAAACATATCACAGCTAGCTTATTCTATAAAAATATATTCTATCCAATCGTTCACATAAAAATATCACAGACAATTTATTATATTAAAATGTTATATCCGATCGTTCAGATAAAAATATTACAGTCAACTTATTCTATTAAAATATTAAATCCGATCAATCAGATAAAAATATCGGAATGCTGAAAAGAAATTATTTTCAAAACGAGCAAAAGAAAACCCCACTTTCATTTTTTTTTTACAATAATGATTTCTTATCTTGAGATTAAAATACAACGCTTGAATGAATTAAGATAGTGAATTCCGCCATTATGTTTTTACAGTTTGTGAATGAATCACAGTTCACTTACGAGTCGAGAAGTTTAAACAACAAGACTAGAAATGGGTAACTATCTGACTACAGAATAAATGAAATGAAATGGGGTTTAACGTCCTTCTGTTCTGCTCCGAACTGGGCTAATAAAGACGGCCGTACGCCATACATTGTGCTATTAGGGAAATTTTGCCCTGACAGTGGCAGTATGGCCTACTCTTATATCGAATTCTGACTATAAGGGATCTTTTACGTGCAAGCCCATGTATACACGGGACCTCGGGCTTTCGTCCCATCCGAGGGACTAGACAGCTGCCCCTCCCCCCCGTCCTGCATCACTGACAAGGGGAAACCACGTCGGAAAATCCCAATGAACTTTCTCGGCCAAAATAACGAATGAAAAATTATTAAATGTTTAGGTTCTCGCGAGATCATCCATATATGGGTCGTTTAGTCAATTAACGTGGAAATAAATTGATCAAATCAGGTTTAAGTCATTCGTTCTTGTGTTCTAACGGTCATATTTATTGGGCCAAATGGCAGGTTGCATACCCGATTGTTTAACGCGTGCGCGTTGTATCATAAGGTCCTTCATTTAGTCAATGGCGCGACAAACCAAGGTTCGGGACAGAACAGTAGGATGTTAAACCCCATTTCATTCATTAAATCATTCTAGTTATTTGATTTATTTAATTAACAGACGGTAACTTGTCTGCGATATCACCTCAGTGAAAGCGGACGTTAAATAAAGCTATTTCACACACAGACGGTGGTGATTGAACGAGCGAGAAATAAAATTGAAAAATAAAAGTTTTACCATTTTTTCCAGATGTATCAGTTTCTATTTCCATACATTCTCCTTCCATACAAGTCAGCGTGCTCCAGACTCCATATTTGGTGGTGAGGTTGGCAGTAGGCGTTCCTGGAACATTCCACCAGCCCGGAATAAGTATCCCTGCTAAATGGAAGGCCGCAGCAGACGACACAAGAAATATAGAAATGGCGTCAGTGCAGATTGACGAACTTGTCATGATAGTCATTGATATGTATCTGAGGTAGCGAAATGAGCTACTACTCATATTGACCACGGATTGTTATAGTCGAGACCGCCTTCTAAATTACTCGCGCACACACGAGATCAAAAGAAAAGTTTCTTTCCTGGATACACACAGTAAATCATACTCATCGCGTGTAAACAAATGCTACGAAACTAAATCATATATGTAAGAAAAACAAACATGGCCGCTGTTGTAAATACTTCTTCAAGCAGACGACCAGTGACTGATCTGTAAAAGAGGCGGATCTAGACTTTTACTGTGGAGAGATGAGGTCTGGTTAATCCACTGTTTAGAGATGAGGCCTAGTTAATCCACTAAAGAAAATTTTATTATAAGAAAACCAAGAACTGTATCTAGTCAAACATTGACCGCAAGTCCAAGTCGATTACTGTGTCCGTTTGAATGCATCATTAAGATACGTTTCTGTACTATTTAAAGATGTATTCCTTTAAACGTGTTAGGCGCAAAATACAAACCCATCGATAGGAGAATGGAATGGAATTAAATGAAATGGGGTTGAACGTCCTACTGTTCGATACTTCCGTTTCTTGGACAATCGGTTGGATAGAAATGAAATTAAATGAAATGGGGTTTAACGTCCAAACGTCCGTAAGGGTCTTTAGCAGTGGGAGGAAACCGGGGAACCCGGAGAAAACCCACGAGGTTGGATAATGAAGACGAGCATACGCCATACAGTGTACTATGAGGGTAGTTTGGTCTGAACAGCGACGTCGTGGCCTATTCTTATTTCAAATTCCAACAGTCAAGGGTTCCTTTGCACACCAATTCATGCGCTGGATCTCGTTTTTTTTGTCCCAGACGAACGACTAGAGTCTCGATTAACAAGTAACGTTGCTACGATAATCAACAATCTATGGCAAAACTTAAAACAAGGATAACGTCGCTTAGAAAAAAATAATGGGAATGCGATTTTTAGTATATTAATTTTGTATATATTATTATCTATTTTTGAGCTATTATAGCAAACACAATCTGTGGCAAAGCTTCAAACGTCGCTCAGAATAAAATAATTGTAATGCGATTTTCAGTATATTCATTTTGGATGATCTGTTTTTGAACTATTATAGCAAAAACGACCAGATATATACTGCCGCTTTAAAACATTAGTTAGATGACCTAATTAGTCAGGTAGGATCACACCTTTATGGCGCAGCTTTTAATTCATCTTATTAAAATGGATTACCTGTTAAAATGTTTACACCTGTCTCACGACAATCACCTTCAAAGTAACCGGATTGCATGTCATACCTACATTAGGTATGTTAAAAGAACGTATATATTTCTACGCAAGATGAACTAGAAAATAAACTAGTCTTCCATTCATTACTAGTCTTTCTAAGAACGACTTACATATATCAAAACTCCTGGCTCCAAGTTCAATAAGTATTCTCATATAAAACAGACATTATGCAAGAGCTAAATCTGCATATTACAAGTCTTTCTTTAGGCCTGAAATGTTTTCTAAATTATTAATTAGCATAATCAACTCTCCATGTCAACGCTAGGCTGTTATGTTTATTGGATTAGAATGCCATTTGCTGCTCCACTTTCATTCTTGATTTAATCATGAAATGGATAATCGAGACTAAGTTTTTTTTTTATCTTACCGACTTTGGTAATGATGATAGATGCTAGGCCGAAAATTCAGTCGCTAAAATCTGGGTTCAGAGTGGATCAATTTGACTGAAATTTTCAGCAAATTCCCTTTACATTATCTAGTAAGGACTAGTATCTCTATTTCAATTAAACTGCACAAGCAAAAGTTAAAGACCTCACTAATCGCCGGGGCCTCATATTTCGCTCTTTTTTAACGTCCACTTGCCACAAACTAGGTCATTTCGGGACTAAAATATGGTTTAATTCTATTTCAATAATTCGCTTGCGCGTAGGGGACTTTAGGAGTGGGAGGAAACCAGAGGACCCATGAGGTTGGACAGGCGACTTACTCCTTGTCACGTACAACCGGGGAATCGAAACCTCGTCAGTTGACTCAATGACAGACCATATGATTCAACGCGCACACATTTACAAATAGCCCCCCTCCATAAAGTAAATAGAAGCTTGCGGTCAGGGGCGGATTGGGGCCGGAGACCGGCCCGGGCTCCCGTGTCGGAGAGGCCCCTTTTACTGACCGCGGAGCCCGGACGGGGGGTCCGGGGGCTTTCCGCCGCGGGAAAATTTTAAAAATTGAACCCAAAGTATGTGATTTGGTGGCATATCTGATTATAATCTCTGTCAAATAATATATCTCATAAATCGATTAATTTAGGCCAAAACCCCAACCTGCAAGTAATTTACAACCAATTACAACCTGCAAGTAATTTATCGCCATATTATGCAGGATTCCGAATTCTGGCCCACACCCATCACACCCTGCCCAGAAAGTCTATTATACCACCAGCCCATTCCAGACTCCAGTGATGGCGTGGCGGCCTGTTAAAGCCACCTGCCACATACAACATGATCATCATCGCTCCATGGCCGGTCCGATACGCCCCCCCCCCCCCACACACACACATATAATGTTCAGCAGAAAAAGGTTTTTAGACGAATTGGACAAAGTTATTTTTTTCATTTTTTGTCCGACCGGCCCCGATGGCCCAACCCGCCCCTGCTTGCGGTCGAACCATGTCTTGCATAGATAACATATCTTATTATCGCAGGTATGCATTAGACTACTCGCCCCCCCCCCACCCTTTATAGATACAAATATTGAATCCGCGCCATATGATAAAACATAAAGACGTGATATTTGATAAAGAAACGAGACTTATTTTAGCGGACGTGTCAAAGCCAAATAACAATATCTTGGGTTGTGTTTTTTTGGTTGTGTTAAATCACAATTCTAAGATGGTTGTTAAGAAAATGTAACTAGCCATTGTAATTATTTCACAGTTTTGTGACAGATTTGTTTTTGTCCCTGTTCTCGAACCGGCTTCTTTGTATTGCTGATTTTGTGACATTTTCACAAACATCTACGAATTGGATGTGGAATTTGTACGATTTTAATAGTACGTATAGAAGAACCGCATCACTTATATTGTAATTTTGGGGGGAATCTGAAGAGAATTTACACCTCGAAAATTGTCTGGTTTACTTGAATATTAGAGAATGAAATGAAATGAAATGGGGTTTAACGTCCTACTGTTCTGCTCCTACTGGGCTAATGAAGACAGGTATACGTCATGCAGTGTGCTATGAGGGATATTTTGCCCGGACAGCGGCCGATATAGTGGACTATAGCGCCTCATAAATTTCCCTCATTGTACACTGTACGACACCTCCGGTTTCCTCCCACTGCTAAAGACCCCTACGCGCAAGCGAATTATGGAAATAAAATTGAACCATATGTTGGTCCCGAAATGACCTAGTTTGTGTCGAGTGGCCGTTAAACCTCTCTTGTAAGTTTCCCCTTGTAAGTGGTGCAGGACGGAGGGCCGGAAAAGGACAGATGTCTAGTCATTCGGACTGGGCGAAACACCGAGGTACCGTGTACGCATTGGCGTGTACGTAAAAGATCCCTTGACAGTTGGAATTCGCTATAAGAGTAGGCGATAGTGTCGCTACCCGGGCAAAATTTCTCTCACTGTATGGCGTATGCCCGTCTTCATTAGCCCAGGTTAGGAGCAGAACAGTAGGACGTTATATCTCATTTCATTTCTTTTTAATCAATCTCTAATCGACGGGTTTGTATTTAGCGCGTAACACGTTTAAAGTACTGCGCCTTTAAGTGGATGATTAACGACTTGGGGTGATAATTCGATGTTTGTCACTCATGTACCATAAGTACGTTTTTTTTTTAAAGATACATTACTTAAGAGCTAAATCTGTCTATTGCAAGTCTTTCTATAGGCTTTAAATATTACAGAAATTATTAATTAGACCTTTATTTACACAACAAGACCGAAATCAACCATGTAGACCCTCGAATAACTTGGATACATCTTGGATTTAACAGTCGTCCATTTAATGATTAAATCAATAAATGATTGAACAAGCTGAAAGGCCTGCCAATCGAGGGTACCGTAGCCATTGAGAATATTACTTGATAATCGAGAACATGTGGGTGGAGTTATCGTCTGTCAATCAAACGATCGGCAATTCTTGTAGACGGCGCGGACACAGTTGATGCCTATTTCTAGTCCAAACTTCCAACAGTGTCAACTCTGTTCAGCATAAAATAATTTGACAGAAATTTTTAATGTTTTCTTTTTTTATCATCTATATTTGAATTATTATAGCAAGAATGACCAACTCTTTATAAATGTATCTTTAAACTTTGAAACTATGTAGTATTTATACTGACATGTTGTAATTGTCAATTTATTTGATAATCCGTTTTCATTCAACATTTTTTGTCCATTGATAAAGCCATGGATATTGAAGGAATTATTAGTGAGCAGAAATTCGCCCATGTATCTGTTATCACTCGTTACTTCAGTCAGTTATATAGAGGAATAACTTGTGTTTTCCTTTTGCGTTCGTCATTTCCGATTGTTCAAACATTGATTCCACAGCTATCGTAGCAATGATCTCTGTAATAAAATTATATTTGGAATGTGTTTAACCAGTTCTATCACATATGTGATAATGACTGGCACAAATATTGTCCTTTAAGACTAAAACTTAACTAAAATACTTATAAAAAAAGTCCATTATGTATCCTATATGTATATAATTATGTATCCTATATGTCATATATGTATGTAATTATGTATCCTATATGTATCCTATATGTATCCTATATGTATGTAATTATGTATCCTATATGTCATATATGTATGTAATTATGTATCCTATATGTATCCTATATGTATGTAATTATGTATCCTATATGTCATATATGTATGTAATTATGTATCCTATATGTATCCTATATGTATCCTATATGTATGTAATTATGTATCCTATATGTATGTAATTATGTATCCTATATGTCATATATGTATGTAATTATGTATCCTATATGTATCCTATATGTATGTAATTATGTATCCTATATGTATGTAATTATGTATCCTATATGTCATATATGTATGTAATTATGTATCCTATATGTATGTAATTATGTATCCTATATGTATGTAATTATGTATCCTATATGTCTGTAATTATGTATCCTATATGTTATATATTTATGTAATTATGTA